GGGGCCAGAATTTTGTCCATCACAGCTGTTGGCCACCTAGGTTCAATATTCCTAATAGCGACTTAAGGATTTACGTATCAAATTCTATTTTGTTACTTTAACTCGTGATCGTAACGTGACAGTTTCGATTTTGTCACATTCACTCGTGATTATAAATATATTTAGAAGGTCAAAAATAGTTACGTCAACTTTCTACGTCATGCTATATGTTATTTGATATTCTAATGTCTGCGACTTTATTATAATATGACAAATTCGATTTTGTCACTTAAGCTCCGAGCTATCTCGATCCTCACGGCTTTGAGCCGAGCCGAGCCAAGCCCTAGGCGCTGCTAATTAGTAGGTTCATATGATATTTTCTCAAATAATTACGAGACTATTTTTTATATTTTTGGACTAAACTTTTAATTTGTTAACTCCTTTAGTAATTTATTTAACTCAATGTATTATTAACAATAATCGAAGTTATTAACTATTAATATTAATAATGCATTATTAATTTTTTATTATTAACTAAAAACTCGGAGGTCCCATCACTATCTATATTAGCATTTATTCATAATTGTTACTAATGTAAAGGCTAATTTCTTAGAATGAACCACCCATCGTTTATTATCGATTTCCAATTATCGGACATACATGGGAGTTTGTAACGAATTGCGAAAAGTTAATTGTAGAATCACGGGAAAAGGTTTACATAAAAAATATATATATTTCTTTCCTTACGTTCTATTATAATAATTTATGATTTCTTAACAGTATGGCGATGCATTTACGTTATACGTATTCGGCCAATTAATAACGGTAGTTGGAAATGATGCAATTTACGAGATATTCAAAAAACATCATGATTTTGATTTTAAAGAAGGTTCTGAAGTAGTAAGTAATTGGAAATTTTCTAGCGAATGTAGAAATTTATTATAATATTATATATTTTAAACCATTCTTTTAATTTGAAACAGCGATTAATTATACGATATATATTTCCTCACGCCTCACTCGATATAAATAAAGGTATTAAAATAATTAGAAACTTTTTTAAAGTAAACATAAGTCGTATCACGAATAAGATACACCAAAGTATTATTGAAGGCGTGGATATTCATGTTGGCGAATGTGTTGGTAAGCTCATAAGTTTTTAATAATGAATTATCTTATAGAATTTTCATGGATGTTTAAATGTTTAATTACTACAGAACCAAAGCTTGTTAAGAACCCAAATGAACTTTTTTTAAATATTTTTTTGCGGATAGGAGCGAATCTTATTGTTGGTGAAGTATGTATTATCTTTTTTTTTTTTTTTTTATATAAAATTTCTTTTCAT